AATGAACTAAGCGATTAACTAGAAGATACTTTTCTTCTGGGGTTTTTCTTAAAAAGTAAACAACGCAAGCAAAGATAATACTACTTAATCCAAAACTAGAGCTAATGGAAACCACTTGTCTAAACGTAGTGAACAAGTATAAAATAACAAGCGAAAATGTTTTTGAGGGTTTTCTTATGAATCTAAATAAACTAAACAAGCAGAAGCAAACAATGATTTCTATGGGGTTTTTGTTTTGAGAATCAAGATGCAATAAACCGAAAGGTAAAGAATAGATATCACATGATTCAAGAACCTTTCGGCTCTGATACCAAATGGTATAAGACTCGGACTGACCGGATCTTACAAGGGTGGGAACAAACGCGCTGGCCTTAGACTCTCTCATGCTGGTTCGTTGAATGGTAAGCGATGGGGGAAAGCGATGGCACCACATAGACTATGGAGGGTTCTTTGATACAGCAAGCACTCGGATCTTATGTGAATCTCTCACACAAGCAAGCAAGTGAGGGTTTTTTAGCAAGTGGTGCTTGAGAAAGAAAGATAGAAGAACTACGCGTTTATTGATTAGGTAAAAAGTTGTATAGGACTACAAGACCGAAAGAAGCTTTATAAACAGCTCGGCAGTTTGACCATCTAGGGTCTAAGCAGAAATAAGCAAGAAAAGAAACTAATATGCAGTCCTAAGCAAATAGCAAGAAATAAAAGAAATAAACCAATGTTTTTATATCATACATTAACTTAGGACTGAAATAAAATAAAAATGACGTCGTCTTGATCCTTTAATTGTGAAAGCTTAACCAAAGCCGGTTAGATTTGATTGTGTACATGCATATAAACTAAATATGGAAAGTACCTTCATTTTATGCATGGTCGGTCCGGTACAATGGGATTAAAGTGGAATGATCCCCATAAGTTCTTGAACGTTGCTTCTAGCCTCTTGATTATCCTGACGTGTCAGTGTGATGTTACCAAAAGGGTCTTCATACGTCTCTTTGTCTTGGTGGTCCTCTAGCCTTCCTTGACCAGATACGGGTATTACGTCATTGGTGATGTCTTGGCTAAGTGGTAACGTCTCGGCTAACTTATCCTCTGAATGGGTCTGACCTGCCATAAAAGGTATCATACCTTGATTTGGATCGAGTGAGGTCTGAAGATCGTCGTGCTTTGGTGGTCAAGCTGTCCCGAGTATTATTTATTGGTCGGGTGCAGGTGGCTTTCCCAAGTGGTATGACGCGGTTAGCTTTCCCAGCTGGTACGTCACGGGTGGCTTTCCCGGCTGGTACGTGAGATCCGGGTCAATCCGTTCTATGAGCTCTTCTACGGCTAAGTTAAACTTTTGGCGTAAAGCTTTCTCCTTTGATCGAGTCATAGGTCCCTCCAAGACCGTGGGTACTACAGATTCAATGGGCTCATCTTCTTAGGTTACACAGCCTCACCTCGATGTTACTCACAATAATTAATCGCTTTGTAAGCCTAGTTAAGCGGGTAGGAGAAGTTACATTTCTCACTATGAAATGTTTGATAATCTTCGATTTTCCCTCATACAAATCGCTATAGAAACGAACAATAAATGACACCATCACAACCGATGCTTGTATTTTAGTTCCCTATCATATACATGACTGATTTAGAATCTACAATAGATGTTCTCGATGGTATAGGAAATAAGAAAAGAATATAGTTCCCTTTCTGTACTTACGTATTGATCAACAAAAATGAAGTGCAGTACTTCACTACCATGGCTATGTACTCTTCATTTTTTATAGACCTTCACAAAAAAATTCCAATCTGGCTTCTATTCTCCAAGGTTTTGAATGGTAGTAATCAAAGTCATTTCTTTCCTAATAAACTGTAAAACTATACTAAAACTTTTTTTATAGATGGATTGTTCTAGGGCCTCCTCTTATTTTAATAGATAGTGAAGATATCGAAATGTCAGATATTGGTTGAAGATAGAAGAAAAAGTTTTACTTTTGTCAGACAATGGAACTTCAAATCAGTACAGAAACAACACAGCCATTTGGAACCTCCACCAGACATGCAAATTTTGTTTTTGAAATAAATTGAAAAGTGTAACATGTCAAATCTTCGTCTCTAAAACATTTTGGTTTATAGCCATAGAAACAACAAAATATTGTTAGCAAATACAGATGAATAACCATATATTTTTTAGTTTGCTTCTCAATATGATCTTCTTATGTAGAAGAAGTCTAGATACAAATAGAATATCATCATCTACAATATCATTCATAAGCCAATTAACTGTCTATTTCTAATCACCACTTTAACTTCGATGGCAATTCTTCATTACAGAAATAGATTTTTATGCCGTTTCATTTCGAGACCCTACATTGATCATTGAATCCATTGACTGCACCAAATTGATTTCATCTCGAGACGGAGCACAGGTAATTGAATTCTAGGATTAACAATGTAATGGAGAAAAACATCTACCTCGAGACTCTACAATTTTTAAACATGGTACTTCGGTTTTTACTCTGTTTCATCTCGAGACCTTACATCGATCATTGCAATCATTAGACTGCACCAAATTTATTTCATCTCGAGACTGCGCGCATGTAATTAAATTCTAGGATTATCACTAATAACAATTTTCTGGATTTCTAAAGAACAGCTCAATCGAAGTGAACATCAGGACTTTTCTCCATCACAGAGAAACATATTCAGGTCATAATTGTGCTTCCTCTAAAAATAAATTATTGATATAGATGAATAATATGGTTTGATAAGAATTAATGAATCAAGGCTTTATATGACATGATAGTATGGATGAAGGAATATTTTTTCTTCTTGTTTAGAATATAAAATTGTTTAAATGATATGTATAAATTGTTACCTTTTGTAATGTGGTTAGTATTAGATTATTTTTATTAGTATTGATGAATGTATATTACGAATATTATAAATATATGAAGATGAATTAGACCAAAAATTATTCCCTTAAATACTCTTCATGAAATTTTAAAGAGAATCTTAAAACCAATGACATAAATCTTAATATACCACATGAAAAATGTTTAAACATTGAAATGAACCTGAATTAATAGTATGGACATTCCGGTTTCAGTATATTTAGATATTCGATAATTATGTACATAATTATGTTTAAATATTCAATGTTAAAAGTTGTATAAAATTGAATCTTAAGACTGAAACCATTAATTATTATATATATAATTATATCTCTCTAAAATAATTTAATCTGTATTATGGAAATTATTTTCACATAATTTGATGCAAAGAGAAGATACAATTGCATAATAATAAGTCTGTATAAACCTCTTACAAAGACATAAAATAATTAAATCTTGGTAATATGTATATATATATGTATATATTTATATTTATATTTAAAAATTATATAACCGTGCGGACGCGCAGAACAAACATCTAGTTTCCATCTTAAAATAACCAACACAACTAGCCGAACTATACCTTCTATATGTTATTTTGGATTTTAATTTGGATCGATCAGTGTTGTATGTTGTTTTGATTTTGATTCAAATGTAAGTTTCGGAGAGGCTCTAAACGAATAAGAGTGTTTCAATTCATCAAAAGAAAACAAAACGAAAACATCAAATTTGAAGCGGCTGGAAGAATTAGAAGGTTTGCAATTTGTCAGTCAATACGGATAACACAACAAATTCTTGAGTTACATACATGGATAACACAACAAATTCTTGAGTTACATACACGTTTGAAGCATTTCAAATGAAGATACCAACAGTTCTAAACCCATATATAAACTCCACTTAGATATAAAATTATGCACATATGATACATTAATTGTATGCGTATTCATCTTATATATAGTATAAGCTAAATTTTATCTTTAAAACTAAATCTGTTGATATAAAAAACTAAGGTTTTATGATGGATATCTAATATCAATTTCCACCGTAATAATATATATATATATATATATATAGAAATTGTTAATTTAGAAAAACGAAATAGATCACACATATCACAAAAGTATATAATATAAATAAATCATATTCATTACATCATACTGTAGTATTTTTATCGTGGGATGTTCTAAGTCGGTTCCAAGCACAAACATACTAATAATGTAGCTGTATCCCTTGTTATTTTAGCTTCAGACTTTTTAAAAAACTGTTAATGCATAGATGCAGCCTTATAAGCTATAAAGTGATCTTAAAATTGCATATTAAAAATCTGGTTATATAAAGTCGATGACATGCCAGCAAAAATATTCATATACACACATATATACAAAGGCGAACCTAGTAAAAAGAAAGGGGGTCACATGACCCCAGTAAAATACTTAAATAAAGTTTAATGTATTGAATTATTTAAAGAAACAGCAGCATTGTTCGCAATCTGTTGAGAATTGGTACCCTTCAAACAAAGTTCAATTCCTCAATTGATATTTTTAACATTTGTAGGCTTAGATTAAGATTTTTTCATATTTCACATTTTCATGAAACTCATAATATTATTTTTAATTTCGTATATTTATTAGTAAAAATTATCAAAATGACTCTAAAATGATTCTGGTAGAATTTATTCTTGGGTCCACCATTCACTATATTTGTAAGAGATTTCTTACTTAAATAGTTACGTTTATATTAGAAAATTTTGCATTTTTATCAAATAAAAAGGTTTTGTATAATTTTTTGACTGAAAAACGAAAGTTTTAGCTGTTTTTGGTGGCATAACATTATCTTCTTAAAAAAAAAGTTTTCTTTCTGTAACTTTTTGTAAGATATTTCTATAATATACGTATATTTAAATCTTAAATCCTAATACATGTCAAAACATGAATTTACTTGCACACGCGTCAAAATCTAGTTGATTAAAAATTGTCATTCTTTTTATGAAATAGAAAGATACATTGAACTTTCAATAATAGGATAGGATTATAGACAATGAATGGCAAAAAAAAAAATAAGAGATAGAAAAACTGTACACAGCATAGCAAAATAAATACCCCTAGGCATTAGAAGAAAAATATAGAACAACCCAATTAGTTAGAGAGAAGAGAAGCCATACAATTTCTGTAAGCGAAGTTGTTTTATGTGTTGTTATTTCCCTTACAAGAGCTTTTTAATCTATGAATTATATATCATTTTCAAGTTTTCACAATATTTTGTTCACGACTTCGCTATCTTTTTAATTTGTTTAGGAAAATATGGATGTGACTATGGTTTCGAGTTCTTGGACGAAAAAGGAGAACGATGACTTCAAGATTGCATTGATGTTGTTCTCGGCGTTTTGCCCTTCACGGTTCGAGCTTATGGCCACGTATCTACGGAAATCGGAGGTTGCTGTTAAGGAGCACTATCAAGACTTGGTCGAGGACCTGTTGGAGAGCGGATTGAGTCAAACAGCTTTGCCAGGTGACATGATTGGTGCAATTGCACAGCCCCCAGTCAAAAGAACCATATGGAAGAAAGAAGAACATGAGTAAGCATACAAAATTATGAGTTCTGCATGGTTTTTTAATAGTAGAATATACAATTTTTGGTAGCACGTTGTCATATATTTGGCCATAAGTTCGTTTTTATCTCATTTGAATAAATTTTGTGGTGAAACATTATTAATTAACAAATATGGATCTGGAAAAATCTAATGCAGATGGTTTCTGATTGGGTTAAGGCGGTTTGCGAGATATTGGGACAAGATATCGACGTTATTGGTTTCCAAAAACCGAATGCAAGTCGCGATCTATGGACATCAATATTTCAGTTGGGAGAGCTCGAAAATGCAGCCAATGAAACGTCAGAGAACCAATGACTTGAATTTGGGTCACACCAGTGTGAATCTCGCAAGCCGACAAGAGACCCATGTTCATATGCGGTCGCAACCACAACAACAATCAATTGTGGAAATGGGTATGGTTGGTTGGACTTCTTACTCTGACTCATGTTATCATAAGTATCAATGTTCGAGTGAGTGAAAAAGTGCGATTAGAGTACTTAAATCAATCGAGGTCGTAAAATCATGTGGTGCTGCGGCAAGTTGTTATGAACCTTGTTTTTTATAATTTTATACTTCTCTTAATAATAAAGTTACATTATCCCAAAAACTATCTGCAGACAGATCACATCCATATATTAACGATCAACAAATCTTAATCAAACCTAATATGATATTCTGTATAGGGACAAAAATATATAATAGAATACAGAACAGAAAATTTGAATATATGATTTACGAAATTTCTTATTTTTCTTTCACGAAATCAAACATTTCACAATTTTCCACAATTCTTTAATTTTCATCTAAACATAAATTTATATATTTACAGTACGTGGAAATGGGGTTTTGACGGGAAAAATAAAAAAAAATTTATTAAGTGAAACTTAATGAAAAACTATTAAGAATTTGGAAAATGTAAATTTGAAGGATATGAATAACTCAAATTAGTACGGAATTAAGGTCTTATATAGAACTAACCATCATTATGTACTCGCCAATCACTCAATACACAAACAACTAATCCCCCTGAAACATAATTTTCGTTCCATTGTTCATAGAAATCAATTGCCATCTTCCCACTTGTAACAAACTCTACTTCATAATCTCTACACGTTAGTAACAAATAGAAATTATGCATTATCCAAAAAAACATTAATACCACATGATTGAACTCTGTGTCAAAGCTGATATAAGTTTTGCAGATCATCATACTCGGTGTCTCTGAGTCGAAACTGCAGTTGACATATACTTATATCGGCTGAATGAGGAGATGGAACAATCTCGAGTTCTCCAACATGATCAACAATTCCTACAACATCTGCAATACTGGAAATATGCATCTATGTTGTATAACAAATCAAAACAACATTATTAAAATACAGTTAGAGAATATGAATACATACCAACAGGATAGCTCCTATTATCCTAAGTTTCAGGCATTAGATGTTCGAAACTGATGAATCTCATAAAATGATCAATCGAACATTGGTACGTTTCCCTCACCTCGGTGTTACTCACAATAATTAATCTCTTTGTAAGCCTAGTTAAGCAGGTAGGAGAAGTCACATTTCTCATTATGAAAATTTTGATAATCTTCCATTGTCCCTCATATAAATCGCTATCGAAACGATCAAGAAATGACACCATCTCAACCGATGCTTGTATTTTAGTTCCCTATCATATACATGACTAATTTAGAATCTGTAATATATGTTCTCGATGGTATAGAAAATAAGAAAAGAATATAGTTCTCTTTCTGTACTTACTAGTTGATCAATAAAAATGAAGTGCAGTACTTCACTACCATGGCTAAGTACTCTCCATTTCCTATAGACGCTCACACAAATTTTCTAATCCGTCTTCCATTCTCCAAGGTTTTGAATGGTAGTAATCGAAGTCATTTCTTTCCTAATAAACTGTAAAACTGAATACTAAAACTTCTTTTATATATGGATCGTTTTAGGGCTTCCTCTTATTTTAATAGATAGTGAAGATATCGAAATGTCAGATATTGGTTGAAGATAAAAGAAAAAGTTTTACTTTTGTCAGACAATAGAACTTCAAATCAGTACAGAAACAACACAGCCATTTGGAACCTCCACCGGACAATCAAATTATGTTTTTGAAATAAATTGAAAAGTGTAACATGTCAAATCTTCGTCTCTAAAACATTTTGGTTTATAGCCATAGAAACAACAAAATATTATAAGGAAATAAAGATGAATAACCATATACTTTTTAGTTTGTGTCTCGATATGATATTCTTATGTAGAAAAAGTCTAGATACAAATGGAATATCATCATCTACAATATCATTCATAAGCCAATTAAATGACTATTTCTAATCAGCACTTTAACTTCGATGGCCATTCTTCATTACAGAAATAGATTTTTATGCCGTTTCATCTCGAGACCTTATCGATCATTGAATCCTTAGACTGCACAAAATTAATTTCATCTCGAGACGGAGCGCATGTAATTGAATTCTAGGATTATCGATGTAATGGAGAAAAACATCTATCTCGAGACTTTACAATTTTTAAACATGGTACTTCGATTTTTATGCTGTTTCATCTCTAGACCTTACATCGATCATTGAAATCATTAAACTGCACCAAATTAATTTTATCTCGAGACCGTGCATTGGTAATTGAATTCTAAGATTATCGTTGATTACAATTTTCTGGATTTCTAAAGAACAGCTCAATCGAAGTGAACATCAGGAATTTTCTCCATCATGGAGAAACATATCCAGGTCATAATTGTGCTTTCTCTAAAAATAAATTGTTGATATAGATAAATAATATGATTTGATAAAAATTAATGAATCAAGGATTTATATGACATGATAGTACAGAGGAAGGAATGTTTTTTTCTTCTTGTTTAGAATATAAAATCGTATAAATAATACGTATAAATTATTACCTTTTATAATGTGATTAGTATTAGATTATTTTTTATTACTATTGATGAATGTATATTACGAGTAGTATAAATATATGAAGATGAATTAGACTAAAAATAAATCCCTTAAATACCCTTGATGAAATTTTAAAAAGAAGTTTAAAACCAATGGCATAAATCGTAATATACCACATGAAAAATGTTTAAACATTGAAGTGAACCTTAATTAATAGTATGGATATTTCGGTTTGTGTATATTTAGATATTCGATAATTATGTACATAATTATGTTTAAATATTCAATGTTAAAAGCTGTATAAAATTGAATCTTAAAACTGAAATTGTGGATACAGAAATCCACACTCAGAAATTTATGTGTTTTGTAAGAGAAGAAACTTTGGAGGATTAAGGGCTAGATTCTCTCGAACAGATTGACAGTATAAGCTAGCACTAACTGAAATAAGGATTTGATTTTAATCGGTCGAATAAAATGGTTACAAAGATTACGATAGAAAAGATGAACTGATAAGAGCTCTAGGAGTAGTTACAGGGTTTTCGAGTGTAAAAAGTGTAAAAGAAAATCAAGCTGAAGGTTCCCACAATCTAAGCCAATTGTCTCCTTTAGCTCGCCTTATCGAGCTCTAGTGCGTATTTTGGCCACGTGCAGCGGCTTCAGCCGGAAATCTCGCCACGTGCAACAGCTACCTCTGTGATCTTTGGACTCGTTTGAACTGCCGAGAATATACTCTGACTTGGCTCCGATCCTCCCTTGTTTCTTGGGCTTTGGTCGAGTTGGAGCTCGACCTCGTCGAACGGAACGTCTTGTTACTCAGGATTGGATCGTGAGAGCTGAATGGGTTTGGGCCGTAAGGTCAAAGCCCAGTCAATTTGGCTTAGTTTGGATCTGTCCTTTGGGCTTGAGTGGGCTGGATTTAGGATGCTAAATCCAGCTCCAACAATATCCCCCAGCCCATTAACGAGAGCGAGCTCGAGCTTTAATGGGCGGCAAGATGTAACTTCTGAAAGATATTGTGTCCGATTACGCTTACGTCACTGAGTCAGATAATCATTTGAGATCGAAGGTTCAGATTTTGGAAAGTTGAACAGTTCGTCGATCGTGTGGTCGGGAATCGACCTCGAAATCGCAGCTTTGCGTGTGGAGATAGATTCGTTATTATCTCGTCCAAGTGGATGGTTGGGATTCGGAGTAAATATCATCATTTACTTTTCGGTTTCGGCGGTCGAGCATCTCAGGGCAAGGTTCATCCCTCGAGAAGATTCGCGCTGAAGTTTGGTGACATGGAAGATCCGGATGGAGAGAGAGAAAGTCGATCTGACGGCCTCAATCAATCGAGCTCTGCAGCGCGTCGAATCGTCGAGGTCGAATATTCGACGGTTGAGATCGGAAGATCGAACGATCGAGATTGGCGCGTGGTCAGAATCTCTGCGATCTCCGAGGTAGGTAATAATTACTCAAATATAAAGTCCAACTTCTCTACTCCTTCTTTAACCGCATCAGTTCGTCGATTAAAGGTAACTTCTTCTCTTTTCTTCCTTTTATTTTCTGCAACTTCCATTCATTGTCTTCATTTTTAGAAAACAAACAGAAATCTCTATGGATTTTTGCGTGTTCTTGCCGTTTCGAGAACTTCTTCCTCGTTATTCCTGATATAGCAAATCGTTAAGATCGAAGGTGGATCAAAGGACTTGGTGGCCCCAGGTCCTTCGAAGATAAACAACCAGAAGGTCTTGGACGACCTTCATCGGGAATGCGAGATTCCTGAGAATATGGAGCTGGCGGTTTTAGCGCCAACGGAAACCCCGTCGAACGTCGAGCCGGGTTTCTGCTATGCCTAACCGATGTACTTCCGGGACTGCGGGTTGTTTTTTCCGATTCCCCGGTTTGTCCAGGAGGTCCTCGCCGACCTGCGGATGGTTTTTTCGCAGATGTGCCCGAATTTGTCAACTTCCGCTTCTCCGCATCATCGGACGCGCAGTGCGGGCGCGGGAGGAAGCTATCAACTTCCGCTTCTCCAACCTGAGGGCGTTATTTTTCATCAAATACAACATCCGCCGTCCCGAGGTCCAACCGGCGGTTTATCGAGGAGAGCCCGGAAAAGGACTCCGGGTGGGAGAAGACGGGGTTTAAGTTCAATGTCAACAAGGCATCCATTGGGGACTTTGACTTCACCCGGCTGCCGTCTGAGTTTCCGGGCAGCGGTTGTCTAGCTAGGCTTTTTGCGTTTGCTAACTTCACTTGTTTTGTTTGACTCGGCCGGCTTTCTGACCTTAGTTTGTTTTTGTGTATCAGGTCAGCTATCCAAGGCGCCAAGGGATCCCGATGTCGAGCACCGGTTAGAGTTATTCAGGCGTGGGGAAGTCATCTGGAGCACGTTCAAGCGAGAACGAGTTCGACGAGTTCTCACCTCACCCGTCCCGGCTCCGGTTTTCGCTCCTGGTAAGTTTTTCCGTCGAGCTGATGTTACAACCTTAGTCTATTGGATCACGATGAAGTGATGTGTATTGGTTTGTTTTGCTGGCAGTCGGAGTTCTTCCTCTCCGTTCTATTCTGCCTTCTTCTAGTTCAGCGATTTCAAGTTCAGCCATGTCTCACAAGCCAACTTTTCGTCAAAGAGCCGGAAATTCTCTGGCAGGTCCCAGCAACTCCAGGGTACGTTCTGGGAGCGTCAAGGAGGCC